GGTTGATCCATTTTTGAGATTCGATGCACTATATCTATATAACGTAAGGACTCTTCGTATAAATTTTTCTCAAATATCTCCCATGTACATACATCGACTATTTACAATTTTATTATATTACTAGCGGCCCGTCCCGGCGTCGCACGGGTGGACATTTTTACATTTCAAAAAGTGGCCATTAAGGCTGCACACGCGACGGAAGCTTAAAAATAGAGTAACTTCTCCCGTTTTCCCAACATTTCCCTTCACTGCTCTGCTCTTATTGATCGTAGCGTGATGAAAAGTATACTACAACCTGCTCAGGAGTATGAAGAATAATTGTACCAAGTTTCGTTAAAATTCGTCGAGTAGTTTTTGTTTCTATAAGGAACATACAGACAGACAGACAAAATTTTACTCTTTACTCTTTTATTTTTTAGGGCAAAGCGATAAGCTGAGTTGTGACCATTTTGTGTTACTGTGGTACACGCATGAAGAGAAAAAAATTGTTACTAATTTTATGCTTATTTTTGTCTTATTTTTTGTACATGTATCTTTTTTATCTTTTTTTTTTACTGTGCATTTGTGTCTTGCTGTTTGTGTGCTGTAAGTAGTGTATGGATGTTATAACTGCGACGTAATTAAATAAGAGTTTGCGTAGTTCAAATACTAGCTGCCGTGACACAGGTCTTGCTTGTGATTCGTTTGGATGCGCTCTGCCGGTTTCCGTAGTGATGGGCGTTGCATTTAATGATGCACCACAAGTGTAAATAAATTATTTATCTATCTATCTATTCATATTACAAAAAGATTTGGCTTATAGTTTTACGACCGGCCGCCTGCCTGATGTCAACCCTCTTTGTCTCTCAAAAAAAAATTGTATTGACTGTAAATGAACTACCATTTACAGTCAATACAATTTTTTTTTCTTTTTAATTATATTTAGTCCACTTCGTAAGTTAATATAATCACTACAGTTACAGATTCAATTCGATTAATTAGATTATGTCTAGCATTGTAAAGAAAAAAGGTCTGAAAGGTAGGTTTAGTTTAGTAAAAGATGTAACAATGATAATGTTTTAATAAAATCCTCACATTTACCAACTCATATTGGTAATTCCTGAGATTTACTGGTAAAACTTAAGACATAGCAATGTTCGGGCTCCTACAGTGACATATGTACTGATAGAGATAACGCGTAATGGAACAATAAATATAATAGCTTATGTATCCGAAAAACTATTACGTGTTTAACAAAAAATGCAAGAGCAGTAAAACCAATATTTAATATGTTCCCGATCCTATAGACAAATGGTTATAAAAGAGAAATTTCAGTGGACATTCTCAGTGGCCACAAAAGACCACTCTATAATTGAGCAAAGACAAAACACTGTTGCCAAAACTGAGCACAAAAGAAAACAGATTCATTGTTAGTTACTCTGTTGTCTATGGACTCTGGCGCGCTATTGTTTCCCGCCAAAAGAAACGTCACGCTGAGACTAAAATGTCCGACAATTGGAATGCATCAAATGCAGTAATAAATGTTTTGGTAATAAAATGCTACCGTTTCGAATGATGATTTGTCAAATTATAGTGTATATAACAATCCTTTTGTGTTTTATTGATGAATGTTTCTTGGTAAATGTTTGTAATTTGTAAAGAAGTGAAATACAAAATGAAGTGTTTTGTCGACCTTGGTGGTAAAGGTAAATAATACTTAGCTAGGTAAATAATATATATATATATAGCTATATAGATAGCCATTTTATCTACTCCTATTTTTGTTGTAAACTCAACTTTTATTTAAAAAAAGTAATAGCTGAGTTTCCTGCACGTTATTCTCAGTTTTAAATTATATTCCGAATTGGAAGATAAATTCATAAAAAAGTGACTGCTCAAAAATGCTTATAATATATATATATATATATATATATATATATATTGCTATATATTAAAAAAGAACTAGGTACAGATAATATGGATACTGGTGGGAAAGGGATTGTTAATAATGGAGACTGAGAATCCCATTGCTAGCAATATACCCAACCAGGTCGACCTCCTCGCGGTTCACCCCTGGAAACTGTTATGGTTAATTCCTGATGAATTCATCATGATGGGCTAACTGTCCTGTTTTCATTCTCATCTTTCACCCTTCACTGGTGCTCCGCCAGCGTATCCCGTTAGCGCAGGCGGAGTTACCATACCATTTTCACCCTTTAAAAAAAAACTACATATCATATTTAATTATTAAGTAATTTAACTTAATTACGTCTATTGTTAAAAACTACATTATTTGCTGTTTAAACTGAGTCTAAATAACAGTGATTTAAACTAACCACCATTAGAGATAATCCCTTGTAATATAAAACATAAAAGAGTCCTTCCATTCATTATTTAGTTTAGTAAAAACCAAGCATGGACCCTTTGTTGGGCATGGGCAAGCCTACGACCCGGGGGGGGGGGGGGGATTGTTAATAATGCGCACTACCAGTCTATAGGCGACAGTACTGGCAACGGGTCAATTATGCCCCTTTAATAATAATAATAATAAACTGTTTATTGCGCACAGTAAAGATGTATACAAAGAGTATTTATATAGAATGTGCATATACAAAAGGCGGCCTTATCGCTAAAAGCAATCTCTTACAGACAACCTGGCATAAAGAATGGATAAGTACAGAGAGAAAGGTAGATGGCGCTAGTCGGACACAGTAAATACATAAAAGGAATCAAACAAAATGCTAAATATTCTAAATATAAAAATAAGATTACAATACACAAACATACATATATAATATAAATAATAATACATAAATATAAATACATTAATATAATAAATAAATTAAGGTAAATCACACATAGTAAACGTCAAAGCAAATTAGAAAAACAAGTTAAAACAGTTAATTTTAAATAAATTAACAGTTTTCACCAGAGGGAGACTTTGTACAAAAGTCGATTGCTTGGGTACCTCTGTCCTATTCGTGTTTCAACCGTGAAGCAGTTGTGTTTGCATGGCTGTGTTTCGGTTTGAAGGGTGGGATATAGCGTGAATTTACTGGGTACAGAGGAATAACACCTGAGTCCTCAGGAATGGCAACGCATGTGGGGTATCCTACCCTTCAGAATTTGTCTGTTAATATTATTTGTCTATACTCTTACTGAATGTCAAACACAACCATAATAAATTCATTTTATTACAATATATGTTATGGTCGAATTTCGACCACTCGCCAATATTAGTAGTAAGTAATATTCGTACTTTACTGTTATAATTAAACTGTGGTTTACTGTATTTGGTTGCCGGTTAATTTACTACCTGGTTTTTTTTCGAACTACAGTAATCACCCCTATAACACGGTACTCTTACAACGCGTTTTTTTTATACAACTTAGAATGGCAAACAAGCTGGCGGCCCACCTGATGGAAAGTGGTAACCGTCGCCTATAGACATGAGCAGTACCATGGACATAACAGAGTATACTGTTTCGCCCATGATACCCCCCATGCGTTGACATTCCTGAGGACTCAGGTGTTATTCCTCTGTACCCTGTAAATTCACGCCATATTTCACCCTTCAAACCGAAACACAGCCATGCAAACACAACTGCTTTACGGTTGAAACACGAATGGGACAGAGGTAGCCAAGCAAACGACTTTTGTACAAAGTCTCCCTCTGGTAATCGGTCTAATAAAGGAGCTACAATGCTATAAACAGACGCACAGACGCGTCAACTATATAACATCTCTCAGTTTGCGTCGGGAAAGAAAAATAGAGATTACTCTTTATAAGAGAATATTAATATATTTTGCATTGTAAATACTTTTTAGATTTAGAACGAGTGTTTACAGGTAAGTTATATTTTTTGAATATAGAACGAGTGTTTACATTTTGACATTTAGAACACTCGTTCTAAATTTAAAAAAAGTGTTTACATATTTCAGAATAAGCAATTTTTTGTTCCGCAAAGACAAACGGTAACTCAAATCATCACAGAATTATTTGGGGACTAAAACGAGACCCTATCAACTGTAAAAACAACTGTGAAATTCGGTTTAGAATTTGTGACGTAATCGCAAAACATAGCTACAATGCCAATTAATAAATCACTTTTTTAAACAATTTCTGCGGATCTACCATGAAATGAAATTTAGAAGTTTCGGACTCAATTTCAAGTTTTAATTTATACCAAAATCGGACCAATAAATGGAGTTTAACATTTCGTTCTTCATACATCCTATCATAAAAGTCCAAAGGAACAATATTTTAACATTTTTAATATTTCCAAACGGTATGTATTATGTAATTTTAACATCAAATTTGTGTTTCGTTTGGCTCCGAAATTTCGGAAAACATTTCATGGTAGGCCCTCAGATCTCCATAAATTGTAGCTAAGAACTATCTCGATCACGTTAGCTTTCAAATGAAAAATAGCAACATTATCGGTCCATTAAAGGAGCTACAATGCTACAGACAGACGCACAGATGCGTCAACTATATAACATCTCTCAGTTTGCGTCGGGAGTGAAAAATAAAGAGATTACTCATTAATATTTTGATTTGTAAATACTTTTTGAATTTAGAACGAGTGTTTACATGTATGTAATATTTTTTTAATATAAGAACGAGTGTTTACATTTTTACATTTAGAACACTCGTTCTAAATTTAAAAAAGTATTTACATGTTTCAGAATAAGCAATTTTTTGCTCCGCAAAGACAAACGGTAACTCAAATCGTCACAGAATTATTTGGGGACTAAAACGAGACCCTATCAACTGTAAAAACAACTGTGAAATTCGGTTTAGAATTTGTGACGTAATTGCAAAACACAGCCATCAATGCCAATTAATAAACTTTTTTTTTTAAACAGTTTCTAGTCTTTGAACACTGTGAAAAAAATATATATAAAAAAGTTGCATTGCATATTATTATTTTGTTGAATGTGCATTATGTACGTAGATGCGAATACCTACACATGCGAGTATAATAAAATATTGTATGAATTGGTAACTAGGTACTCACCGTGCGCCCTGTCATCCACACCGTCACTGTCCACTTCACTTCTCACGCTCCCTGGACTCGCCCTCTTTATATCCTCAGAGCCTGATCTCTGTTCATTTTGAAATCCATTCATCATTCTTTTCTCGTACGACATGAAAAACGGGAAATTCGGCACACGATTCTGCTGGAAATAATAACCCATTTTTCCATCCCTAACTTTGACGTCTTCATCCTCTGAATGGTCGTTGTTGCTTGCGTAATCCTGTGAAATAGTATTCTCTATGTCAATATCTGGCGATCGTCTGTCATTCAGCCCGACTATCGATTCGATGGAAAAGTTTTTAGGCGGTATTTTCGTCTGCATTTTACTAATCTCTGAATCCATCACTATTATAATCACAACACTATTTAATCGTCACTGGCCACTGATGTTTTTTTTTTTTTTTTTATAACTTCTTAAATACGCGATACAATTTGTAAATGGAATGTATTCGTATTTGGAACGTGTGAATGTCGGTACTGTACTGAGATTTGTGCAGACGGTGACGGTGTATGGGTTTAGAGCGACCACGCCTCTTGCGTGAAGGGGAGTTGACGGCTGCTTATAATACCATCCGTAATTTACTTTCATCTCTATTGTTCGAACGATAAGATTGAGTTTACATTAATGTTATATAAAACATGAAGGAAGTCACAGACAGAACATATAATTTTATAATATATATCTATGACGGTATGACACAATTTTCATTGGGATTTAAAAGAATTGAATGAACAACAAACAGATTATTGTTGTTTTGGCAAAATCTTAAAATCCCTTTGAGACCCGTTATGTTTTTTTAAATATCGAATGTTCTATTTTTATAAGTGGCCAGGACAAATATTGAATTTTACTTTATGTACGGCTTATTTTTTTTTTAATAGTTTTAGGTCGCGTAAATAACAGAGCGATCCAACCTCGCTATTGCATAGGGGCGACGGTTCAGCCTGAAATGTTTGAGATGAGATACTCAAAAACGTATGCACACATAGGAATAGGTAGTTAGTTATGTAAAATAAAAAAAAAAGAGACTCCGAATTCAAGTGCCAATATTTACATATGTGGGTAGGATATAAAATAGTCACAAAAAATATAATTTAAGATACCCACATATGTAAAAATTGTCACTTGTATTCAGATGTCCTTTTTTATAACACAGGGGAGGGGGGGGCAAACGAGCATGAGGCTCACCTGATGGTTTGTTTTTTATACAACTTAGAATGGCAAACAAGCTGACAGCCCACCTGATGGAAAGTGGTAACCGTCGCCTATAGACATGAGCAGTACCATGGACGTAACAGAGTATACTGTTTCGCCCATGATACCAGCCTTGCGTTGTCATTCCTGAGGACTCAGGTGTTATTCCTCTGTACCCAGTAAATTCACGCCATATCCCACCCTTCAAATCGAAACACAGCCATGCAAACACAACTGCTTTACGGTTGAAACACGAATGGTACCCAAGCAAACGACTTTTGTACAAAGTCTCCCTCTGGTATGATAGTAAGTGACTACCGCCCCCCATAATCACCCACAACACCAAAGGCATTGCAGGTGTAGGTACTGCTGGCCTTTTAAAAAGGAATATGCTCTTTTCTTAAAGGTTATGATGTCGTATCGGTTCGGAAATACTGCTGTTGGAAGTTGATTCAAAAGAGTGGTTGTGCGTGGAAGAAAGTGCCTTGAAAAACGCACGGTGGAGGACCGCCACTCGTCCAGATGGTTAGGATAAAAATTTAGTTTGTCGCGGGTTGTACGGTGATGACAATCAGCAGCGAGTCTTTTGTTTTAGGCTCGCATAAAAAAATAAATAAAATTAAAAAAAAGTAAAAAAAAACAGTCCTACTTACTTGCATAGTAACATATAACTCTATCTTCTTTTTCTGAGACTCTCCCCGTTTACTTATGACCAACTTCTCGTTTACTTGCGCCAAACTAGCTTGTATTATACTAACAATCAGGTAGAGTGCAGTAAGCGATTAAGCATCGTATCATTTAAGAGGCAGCACTACAATACTAACAAATCAATTTATGCAACCATTTACAAACAAGTCAACAGAAAAAAAAAAAAAAACAACCGTACCTTCTATTTGAGGTAGATTGAAAATTCTAAGTACCCGCGGTTTCGCCCGTATGAATCATTATATACCTACATTATTTCACGTTTTAACTTAAGCGTTAGTAACGGTACACGTTACTGTATACTAATCCCGGAGAGAAAGGGGAAGGGATTGTTAGTAATGGGGAGGTTAGTCCCCATTGCTATCAATATATCAAGTCAAATATAAGGCGGAACCGTGTGGGGGAATTCAAGGATAAACTAGTCACGATAATTTTATGGTGACTAATTTATCGTTGAATTCGTCTTGATGAACTAACTGAACTGCCTGTTCATCCTCACCTATCACCTCTCACTGGTACCCCAGCAGTGTATACCGATAGCGCAGGCGGGGTTACCATTTACACCCATTAAAAAAATCCCGGAGAGAAAATGGAGAATTTTAGTACAAGTTTCGATCAAGTTCAGACTTTACACTCCCACCATTTTTTTTTTGTTGTGTTTTTTTTGGTTGATATGTTTTTTTTTTTATGCAACTTAGAATGGCAAACAATCTGACAGCCCACCTGATGGAAAGTGGTAACCGTCGCCTATAGACATGAGCAGTACCATGCACATAACAGAGTATACTGTTTCGCCCATGATACCCCCCATGCGTAGCCATTCCTGAGGACTCATGTGTTATTCCTCCGTACCCAGTAAATTCACGCCATATCCCACCCTTCAAACCGAAACACAGCCATGCAAACACAACTGCTTTACTGTTGAAACACAAATGGGACAGAGGTACCCAAGCAAACGACTTTTGTACAAAGTCTCCCTATGGTGATGATATTATCATCACCATCACCATGATGATGATAAACCGGTAACTGTGCACCGGGTTTTACTAGTAATTACCACGCTTGGCAGGCGTGGTAATTAAGCTTTAGTAATGCTTTAAAAAAACGGGACAGCCCATGTATGTATGTATTTATGGGGCTGCCCATCCGTCCACCATTAGCTTTCAAAAGTTCTATTAATACACCCACGATATTACATATTCTACTACGGGACCACATGACAATCCATACTGACACATGTCCTAATATAACCTATAACAAAGCTAAATAAACACATACTGTAATGAAATCTATGCGAGTGGTAAATCAAAGTAAACTATTAAATATGCTTTCGAATAAATATTCACATTTTAAATAAAAAAAAAAGACATTTGAAATGTATAAATACCTGTGGATTAGTTACATTCGTTTTATTCGAAATTAATGTACCAACTTCATTCTATTGTTTTCAGAACTCTTGAATTAGTAATTTAACTAATGACAACTAGACGCTACTAAAAAAAACAGCACTATGTTAAATTAAAGAAACAAAAAGTTTAAAGTGTTCAATGCACGAGTACAAAACATTCGAAGTAAATTTTAAATTAAAGACTAGTATCTGACAGATTAGTTAATGAAACGTGATTAGTAAATAAATTAGAAAACAAAAATTAGTGATGCTCCTCGTTTACTAATTCGACCGATAATTATTCGATTTAGTAATTTTTTTTATTTTTTTTTTATTTGATATCGATATACGAAATGTTTTCAAATAATTTACTACAGATTTTCATTCATTGTAAGAGTAGTAGTAGCCGAGTTGAACCGATCGCTTGGAATATTTTTCTTTTTATAGTTAATTTAATTTATTTTTCAAATACTACTTATGAATTTTATTGTTTATGAATAAATAAAAGGAAGGGTATCGATAAGGCCTCATTCCGCTCTAGAATATCGAAAAAAAGTCATTGAACTTAATGTTTTTTTTTTTTTTATATTCTGAAAGTAGACTGTGTCTGATCTTCTCTTTTCATTTAAGAGTTTCCTCTTGTCGGTGCAACTAATTCATGCATCTTCCTCCAGCCAGCTCTATCCCAGGCCATATCCTTTATCTCCCTATACGACATGACGCCTAGTGTTTCCTTTATCTGTCCCATGTAGTTATTCCTCGGTCTTCCTCTTCCTCTTTTGCCCTCTATCTTTCCTTCTACTATGCTCTTAAAAAAATCGTCATGTCTTATAAGGTGGCCCAGCATTTTACCTCTTTTATTCTTTATTATTTCAACCAATGTTCTCTTGTCGTTCACTCTTTTTAAGACTTCCTCGTTCGTTAGTTTTCGTTAGTTAGTGTATCTGATAAGAGAATATATTTATAGAAAAAAAAAATTACAGATAATATTAGTTTTGGGGATATTAACTGTAGTTTTTTTTAGGAACCAAACTTTGGTCTAACTGTGACTTTTAGTAAAAGTAATAAATTTATTAGCATTAAATAGGGTAATAGGAAGGAGATAGAAGGAAGGAGGGGGAGAGGGAAACCGAGACATAGTTACATCAGCCAGATCAAGGAAGGAGTTGGTGTCGTGTCGTATCAAGAGGTGAAGAGACTCGCTGAAGATCGTAGTGAGTGGCAAGAACTCCACCGACAAGAGCGCAGCTCTTAAATAGGATAGATAGATAAATAGGGTAGGTATCGGTGGTCTTATATTACATAAAGTCTCGTGCCTATTTAGTCATTACAGTATAGCATGCAAATGTCCCATTTTGATAGGAACTGATTAATTTATGCATCGACAACTATATTAGATATTTATCTATTCTTTCTTGAAAAATTCGTCAACAGAGTAAAAGCTTTTGCTAAGTAACCATTTACGTAATACAATTTCAAATTTATTTAATGGAAGTTTTTGTTTATACAACTTAGAATGGCAAACAAGCTGACTGCCCACCTGATGGAAAGTGGTAACCGTCGCCTATAGACATGAGCAGTATAAACAGTGAGCAGTATCATGGACATAACAGAGTTTACTGTTTCGCCCATGATACTGTTCCCCCCATGCGTTGCCATTCCTGAGGACTCAGGTGTTATTCCTCTGTACCCAGTAAATTCACGCCATATCCTACCCTTCAAACCGAAACACAGCCATGCAAACACAACTGCTTTACGGTTGAAACACGAATGGGACAGAGGTACCCAAACAATCGACTTTTGTACAAAGTCTCCCTCTGGTGAGTTCCTTTATATTCATAGGTATATTGTTAAAGATTTTTAAACACATCATATAGGAATTTCTTAATAAACGGCTTGTTTTAAAAATTGTATTAGACACTAGTTTTTTAGGGTATCTTGCGCTTCTTTGTATTTGCTCTTTTGCTTCTGTAAACCTGTTTAATTTAACAAATATACCCGCTTCAAGTATATACAGACTGGGAACAGGTAATATATTTAGAGACTTGAAATAAGGTCTACAAGAAACATCAGGTACAATATTATATATTGCACGTATGCAACTTTTTTGCGCAACTAGAATTTTCCCAATATCAGCGCCATTACCCCAGAGCAGCAATCCATATCTAATCATGGATTCAACATATGAAAAATATGCTGTAATAGCAGTATTTTTATTGGCTATCTTGGTTAATTTGTAGAGTGCAAAAGGGAATCTTTTAATCTTTGCACATACCTTTTCTAATTGTTTTTTTCATGTCAATTTAGAATTTATTGTTAATCCTAGAAATGTCACACAATTTGCATTATTTATAATTTGTCCATTTATATGTATATTAATTGAATTATTTTTAAGGTTATTAAAATTCATCATTTTTAATTTTCCCACATTTATTTGAAAATTGTTTTCTTGTGTCCATTTTATAATAAATGTCAATGTATTTGTAATATCCATTTTATGTTGCAATATTGAGCATTCTTTATCTGTAGAGACAATAACTGAAATGTCATCTGCGAAAAGTATTGTTTTATTATTTATTATGTTTTTTTTTTATACAACTTAAAATGGCAAACAAGCTGACGACCCACCTGATGGAAAGGAGTAACCGTCGCCTATAAACATGAGCAGTACCATGGACATAACAGAGTGTACTGTTTCGCCCATGATACCCCCCATGCGTTGCCATTCCTGAGGACTCAGATGTTATTCCTCTGTACCCTGTAAATTCACGCCATATCCCACCCTTCAGACCGAAACACAGCTATGCAAACACAACTGCTTCACGGTTGAAACACAAATGGGACAGAGGTACCCATGCAATCGACTTTTGTACAAAGTCTCTATATATGTCAGCAAGATCATTTATATATACTAGAAATAATAGCAGTCCAAGTACGCTTCCTCGAGGGACTCCGTAACTATTGTGTTTATATTCAGATTTATACATTTGTACCGTTGATTTAGAGTCTAGTTGTTGTATTTCCACACATTGCTTTCTATTTTTCAGGTAAGATTGTAACCAACTCTTTGCAAGTCCTCTAATACCATTAGATTCCAATTTTGACAATAATTTATCATGAGACACAAGGTCAAATGCTTTAGACATATCAATAAATAACACAGTTGTATAGTTTCTTTTATTAACATTTTGCAATGCATCATTTAGAAGTTTAAAAGCAGCAAGAGTTGTGGAGCCATTTTTTCCGAAAGTCATGTTAATTAGGTTTAATAATATTAAATTTGTTAAAAAATTCATTTAATTGATCACCTTTCCAAATATTTTTGCAAATATTGTTATTAATGTGATAGGTCGATAATTTCCCAAATCAGTACTATCTCCTTTCTTGAATATTGGTTTGACAACTGATATTTTTAGCTTTTCTGGGAATATTCCACACTCTAAAGAGAGATTAATTAAATGTGTTAGTATTTTCATTAGCTCTTCCTTGCATCTTTTTATTACGTTAGTGCAAACAGAGTCATATCCTTCAGATTTTGTATTTTTTAAGGGCATAATTTTTTAACTTATATATGATTCGCCTACTGGTTTTAAGTAGATAGTATTTGATAAATTGTTTTTGATGCTTGTAAGTGAAATCACTTACCAACACTTACCAACACTGCCTTAAGGAAATTTAAGGCAGTGTTGGTATTAAGATTTATAAAGTATTTGTTGAATGTAGTAACGATATCTATGGGATTAGTCTTATATTCATCTTTGTTTATAATTTTGCTGATATATTTTTTTGTCTGTGCATTACTTGTTTCTTTTTTAATTATATTTCATGTGGCCTTACACATATTTTTACTGTTTGCTATATGTTTTATATTCGTTATTCTCTCAGAACAATTTGTACATTTTTTTTAAAGTCTATTATAGTTTAAATATTTTCTACGATTCATTTCAGTTTTGTCCCTGTAATATTCATAACGAAGTGTTCTTTTAGTTATATAGCTTTTTGTTCAAAATAATACATTTTCAGTAACATTTTAACTTTTTTTTTATATAAAACGCATTTAAGAAACACTTTCTTTTATATTTTATTCTAATGTCC